CCTCGTTCATTTTCTTGGTCTTTCGATCCTTCGACCCTTTTACGACCTCTTATCCTTTATATCCTTTTTTTCACTACTTGATGGGCATCCGCCATCTTGCGTTGCACAATTGTTTTATACGCATTTGGCGCGGAACTCTGCCGAGTTTCCTGATAGAACAAGAAAATTCAGTACGAGGTCCATGCTATTCTTACAGTTTAGACAATTTTTCATTGTTCGACCCATGTGTGACCATTGATGGTGGAGGACAGTCGTCGTTTGGTTTTGCGACCTGAACAATTATATCGGTTCATATCCTTTTTTTTCGCTACTCAACTAGCATCCGCCATCTTGCGTTGCGCAACTCTTTCATACGCATTTGGCGCGGAACTCTGCCGAGTTTCCTGATAGAGGAAGAAAATTCAGTACGAGGTCCATGGTATTCTTACAGTTCGGACGATTTTTCATTGTTCGACCCATGTGTGACCATTGATGGTGGAGGACAGTCGTCGTTTGGTTTTGCGATCTGGATGGCGGCGCGCATCGCCCTGTAGACATTGACCGAATAAAAAGCCCCCAAGGTGAGCCGGGGATGCGTGAATGGGCGTATGCATGAATGGGACGCAACCGGGAGATCAGACCCATGTATGTGCACACATCTTGGTGTGCTTTGTGTCCTCTCGATGTGGTCAAGAGTGTGCGTGGGCATCCCACGCACACTCTTGTCCCCGGGGATAAATGCATTTGGCTCGAAACGCAACCGAGTTCTTTTCATCTTCCCGAGACCGGAGTAGCAATTTTATCTCTCTAAGATGCACAAATGCATTTGGCTCGAAACGCAGCCGAGTTTTTTTTAATGTTCTTGAAAACGGAGGAGCAGTTTTATCTCTCTAAGATGCAGAAATGTATTTGGCTCGAAACGCAACCGAGTTTCTTTTAATGTTCCTAAAAACGGAGGAGCAGTTTTATCGCTCTAAGATGCACAAATGCATTTGGCTCGAAACGCAACCGAGTTTTTTTTAATGTTCTTGAAAACGGAGGAGCAGTTTTATCTCTCTAAGATGCACAAATGTATTTGGCTCGAAACGCAACCGAGTTTTTTTTAATGTTCCTGAAAACGTTCCTGAAAACTCTCATTTGGGGAAATCTCAGCCCGCCATTTTTAAATCGATACTTTCTTCTTGCGAGACTCGCGTTGCGTAAATATTCAAGAAATATCGTGAAAAGCGTAAAATTCGATTAATTCGAAGCGCGTTCGTTTTGCAATCCGCTCGGAGATAGACATTGCAAAAATGAGATGTTTTCGATACGAAGCCGGTTTATAAATCCTTCTGCCCCGTCTTCGTCGATATTCCGAATGCATTAATACGATGCATCGCGAGTGTCGCAAATAGTACTTCGACTTTGAGAGCGCACTTGCAGTGTCGCAATGACTCCATGAAATATGGGAAAATTAACAGAGGGCCTTTTACCGGAAATTACGTCCTTGGACAAAAAGGGGGGAATAAAAAATACGGGGAATGCCGTGGAACGGGGATAAATGGAACGGAAGTGTCGGCTATGTTGCGAAAAATAAGGAATGCTCCGTGACTGATATAATCGCTAGATCGTAATAAGTGCCTGCAATGACCGTCCCAGAAAAACAGATTAAAATGTAAATATTTAATACACTCTGCGAGAGAAAAAGGAATTTTTTTTCCCTGCACGGTACTCATTAATTAATTAAAACTCATCCGAAGCGTCGTCGAGGTATTATCACGTCGCTCTCTTTATGACGATAATATGCAATTAAGATCAATTTTAATATTAAGAATGGCTTGACAATTTGTCTACGGATATTGTCAAAACTTTCCTCATACCCATTCACATTGTAAAGTTTTATTAGGAATTATTTATTAGGTGCACTGGGAGACATCAATGCCTCTCCCAACCTGCACAGGCGATGTCGTGTCTCCAGGGGAGGCATTCATATTCGCCAGTTCAAAAAAAAGTGTCATGAACTATTGACCTCTTTCATGTCCCCTTAATGCATTAAGAGCGAAGGAAGAGAAATGCTAATGATGCCATTAATAACAATATATATATTTATTGCGGCCTATGAACGTTTCCTTTACAGAGGACCCATGAAGGGCTTCGAACGTGGTTTCTGTTATTTCTTTTCCTGGATAAAAAAATAGTCACGACGACACGTGGACGGTGTTTCTTTCGCGTAGCCGCCTCGGTATCTACTTGGTGATTTAAACATTTTTTTAAGCACACTTCGGATTACCATGAGAGATTACAAACTAGAGTGACCTTCGTGCTCTCGGAAAGGAGTAAGCCGCAATCGCGAGGTCTCATTTTCCGACTCCGTTGTCGGCTTTTTTTTCTTCTTCTTTTTCATTTTCTCTGTTTCTTTTTTTTTTTTTTTCTTCTGCTTCATTCCTACGCCGAGGTTCAATTAACCTCGTTAAGACTCGGCCGAGATGCTTGTGCATTTCAGCTGTACGATAATAAGTAATAACGTGTACCGTCTTTCAAGACCAGGTACGAGTTCATCGAACAACCTTGACGCTCCCTGTTCAGATAAAATAACTAAAATATTTATTTATCCCTGGGAAATTAATTCCCGAATATCAAAATTCTCACCCTTTTACGGCAGGATTTTCTATGTTATTTTTTTTTTTCTTTCTATATATTGAAACGTCAAAATTTTTGTCCAAATTTGATGCACCGAATTATCAGACTTTTTAACACGTGATTATGGCGGCCCTAGGGAAGAACCCGATATTCGTGAATTTTCATTTTTTCTTAAAAATAATTCACTTAGCTCCGACAAGGACCGAGAGAATTTTTTTCCTCGCTAAAAAGAAATTTCCCGAGACTCGAGACCTTAATTAAGTCCTCCGTAATTACGTGATAAGGCTTGCAATTAATCGGTGCACTTATTTTAGAGAAATGACATATCTGAATAATTACTTTCTCAGTGTATAATTTTTAACAGTGAATTTTAATCCGATAAAAAAATAATGTTGCAAAGAAGAAATGATAATAGAGACAATTAATATAATGAATTTATTTAACGAGGATGAAATCGCCTGTCCTTGTTTTACACGGCCGTGATAAATCGGTTTAATATTCTCTGTATGAACCAGGAGAACGAAGGTAAGACTTTTATTATCTGGGAGTAATAAAGCAGAATGTAAGAAAAAGGTTTAAGAGGTATAATTCCATTGTCTAATGCAGTGGAAATTAAAACGGCGTTAATTTATAAATGGAGCATCCAATCGGATATTAATAATCCAATGAATTTTTCCCTTTTTTCTTGTAGCCGGCAAATGCACAATATCTCTGTAACAATTAGCAACAATCGTCCTCGCGGCGGTCAAACTCGGTCTCGTAAAAAATACTATTAGTACAGTGATAGCAATGACGATAAGACGCACTTTTCTCGAATTAACACGAGTATATAAACAAGACTAGACTCCGTTAGATGACATTAAATAATAAAGGTAATTTACAAAAGTACAATAACAATGGTATTAATTCAAGTCTCACTCGTCATCCGCACAAATGCACCTCTATTGTTGTCGAGGACAATCCTTAGACATTGGCAAGGAGATTGGAAAAAGGATAGCGACCTTTTTACAATGCAAATCGAGGGATGTTGAACAAATTGCTATAATCGGGATTTAAACAATTTTTTTGCATATCCTTTTCCGCACTCTCTTCCGCTCCCTTTCTCGTCAGTGTATTTACAATCCAGTCTCTTCTCTTTGGCACAAAGCTTAACTGATGTTAATATTAATAACATTTAAACGAAATAGCCATTCTTTCGTCTATATAAAACATTATTTAACGTCGACCTCAATCGACCCTATTTTAATTGTTAAAGGACTTCAACTCTAGGTGTCCTTTGTGTCCTTGCATCTTGTCTACAAATTATTTATAACGAATTGTTTATGAAACATATCGCCGTATGCCCATCGATACACTTTTGCCTAGGTGGCCACGTAAGTAGTTATAAACAATTGTACAGTACAAGAGGCATATTTAATAGTTATTAGCACTATCGAATCAGCAATGACAACGCGCGCGATGCTAGATTATTTATTACAATAATTGTACAGCATGGACGATCCCAGATGTGAAATTTTCGTAAGCAACAATTACTCGCGAGAGATTTTGTAATTAAAAAAAAAAATTTATTTCAATTTATTTAACAACTCGAAGGAGGAAATTTTAGCAATTTGTCGCTCCTTCGTTGCAACGTAAACGGGATTTTCATGAGTGATCTTGTAAAAAGAAAATATGAAAAAAAATATGGAAAAACACCTCGGGATCATTCCAAATAATTGCAATTGCATACAAAACATACACACGAAAAGTAGGAACGTACCCAACACGCCGAATGCAGTAAATGCAAGTGCAAAGTAATGCGAAACGTATAAACGAGATCCAGTGCACCTCAAGTAAAAAATATTTTCTGGACATCCGAAAACACACCCGATATATTAATATCTAAAATGTATTCCAATTATCTAATTAAACGATATCATTCGTAACAGACTCGAGGGTTCCTAAATAATTCACTCTTATTAATTTCTCCATAAATGAAAATCTTCGGTGTGAAATTGATAGCAATTGTTCATTGAGCAGTAGTTAGCAATTTTCATAAAATGGTGGCTTCTCCAGGAACCCAGGTGTCGGAACAAGCATGATACTTGTTCGCAGCCTAGAAAACCCATCAGCAGAAGGATCATCCTTTATTAAAAGGATCCTGCACCACATCCCGATCTATGTGAGAAGCAGAGTTTGTAGGATTTGCAGGAAATCTAGAAGGATCATCCTTCATTAAAAGATCCTGCACGACAGAAGACCCATCAGCAGAAGGATCATCCTTCATTAAAATGATCCTGCACCACAGAAGACCCACCAGCAGAAGGATCATCCTTCATTAAAAGGATCATCCTTCATTAAAAGGATCATCCTTCATTAAAAGGATCATCCTTCATTAAAAGGATCATCCTTCATTAACGGAAGACCCATCAGCAAAAGGATCATCCTTCATTAAAAGGATCCTGCACCACAGAAGACCCATCAGCAGAAGGATCATCCTTCATCTAAAGGATCCTGCACCACATCTCGATCTACGTGAGAGGCAGAGTTCGAGGTTCCTTCAGGAACCCAAGTGTCGGAACATCCCTGATCATCCTTCATTTAAAGGACACCCAACGCAGGAAGGATCCGGCACCACATCTCTATCTACATAAGGAGCAGAGTTCGCAGCTCTTCTAGGAACCCACACGACGGAACATCAATGATACCTGATCACGACTTAAAGGACCCTGTACCACACCTAGATCTACGTGAGAGGCAGAGTTCGGGGCTCCTCCAGGAACCCAGGTGGCGGAACATCCAAAATCCCCGGTCGCGGTCCAGGGGACCCACCAACGGAAGGATCGCCCTCTACTTCACTCTCCCCAACGTCCCCATCAGGGACCCCAGTCAACTCGCGCACATTCCCAGGAAGATAGTCCTTCCAGCTCCTAAAGAGATACCTGGTGAATTTCCGAAGCTGCCGGAACTTGCAGTAGGTTGCACCCTCGGCGGACTCCAGCTGCTGGGTCTGGATGAGGAAGCCCTTCTCCTTGAAGGTCTGCTCCAGCTTCTCCCTCTGGAGGGACTTCTTGGTCTTGCGTTTCCGCCGGTTCTCCTCCTGGTTGGGAGACCTCAGACACCCAACGGGAGGTAGCCGTTCCCCAGCAGCGCTCAGGAAGGCTCCAGCAGAAGAGCCAGCCTGGCCCGCAGGCTGCTGGAGGGTCTCCCTGGGGAAGAACTCGTATCCCCTCATGCTTTTGTCCCCAGTCCCACTGTAGTACCGAAAGTTCCCACCTGAGTCCACCGACAGGCTCTTCTTCTCCTGCAAACTGGGCTTGGCGCCTCCGGTGAACTTGAACTTGCATATGCTGACTTCGGTGGCAGGGTTGTTGTTGTTCTCCGTGGGCATGGGCGGGATGAAGATGGCGGAGCGCTTCCTTTTCGTGGGCTGCATCTGCTGGCCAATGGGTGCGTTCCTCTTGGGTCTTGGAGACTCTGGTGGAGGCGCCGGGGCCGGGAGCGGTAACGCTGGGGCTTGCATCTTGTTGTCCAGCATCGAGTACAGCGTCTTGGGCACGATCTTCTGCTCCTTTGGTTGCTGATCGGCACATCCGAGGCTCTTCTCGTTCTGCGCCATCTTCTGATAGTACAGGAACTGCGACTGTAGCGCCATAGGGTGGATGAAGACCCCGGCGTTCGGCCAGTAGACGAAACCTGGATTGGGACCAACACCTGGATCACCGCCATTGGAGTTGTTAAACGAGTCCATGGGTCGAGAGGGGTCGAACGCACTTGGAGACGATGGTCCCATGCACTCCACCTCTTCGGCATCGCTGGACGTCTCGCTCTTCACCTGGCCAGACTCGTAAACGTTGCCGTGCTTCCTCAGCAGTCTGATCTTCAGCTGATTCAGGTCCCTGATGCAGAGGTTCAGGGGCTCCTCTTGCTCCGTTGTCTTCAGGGTCTCCGTTAGGGCCAGGGTCCTCCGCGTTTCCTGGGTCAGCCGCTTTTCAAGGAGGCTGCTGATCCTGTTCTGGATGTCGGTCCGCTGGAAGGGAACCTGCGATGGCTGGTCCCTAGTTTCTAGCTTCATCCTGTTGTCTTGCTTCCTCTCCTCGTGACCTGGGGTTCCTGGCAGGATGGTTCCGTAGTTCTTGTAGATCAGGTGGCAGATGTCCGCCTTTTTCGGCTTGCGACCACGCCTGGGTTTACTGTTGTCCAGGGTGATCTCGCCCATGTAGGGCAGATCCGAGTACTTCATCGGTGGTCTAGGGATCGGCTGCGACTGCTGATGATGATGCTGCTGATGCTGATGCTGTTGCGAGCCGCAGGAGTGAGAGGTCGAAGTTATCACCGATCTTCTCGAACCGGTTGGCTGGGTGTTGCTTAGGGATGGGTTTCTTGGCGCCACCAGGCACAGTTCTTGCTGCATCGCTGCGATCCGCTGTAACCAGCCGTGGACGTCTGTTATGGGACTGGGAGCGGACGTGGATGTCGCCGAGGCTGGACTAGGTGTCGTTGGTTCCGTGATGGATGTCGGTGATGAGTTCAGGGCTTCTTGAGCAAGGGCAGCCTCGTAGTGGTCCAGATACTCCGGTGGCAAAGCTTGGTGGTGGAACTTCAGCTTCCACCTGGACTTCCTGCGGCCGCGACTGGAACGATAGAAACCCATATCACGGTAAAGAAAATCAGGGAAGACTATCAACCGAACCCTTATCATCAAACCCCCTCATACAGGGATGCAAAAATGAATTTCTCCAGATTATTGGAACTTTGACGAAGTCGATGATCCTCTCCTAGGGAACTGGAAGAAAATACCATCTCGTGGGAGTAATATAATGGAACTACCCAAGCTTATCCTATTTGAACCTGGAAATGGGATCTGGTCTGATCGCAGCGATACCGGCCAATTTATCTGTCTTTCAGGTTTCCTGTCTGCCTGTCCGCTGGGATATACCGAGCAATATGGCATAAATAGAGCAATCTATGATCCATTCTAAGTGGCGACTCGAGGCCACCTGGTCTCGACGTTATCTTGCATTTGCATCGCTATTCTTTGCCCGAGATATCTCTTTACGACATTACTGCCTTCCAGCCACACCTAGAAGCCGGCATGGCGGTTTTCGGATGCCTCCACTTTGCCGCGATTACGAACAGCCTACTTCGACGAGAGTCGATAACGGTGATCGGAGACGCGTCTTTTATTCCCCGGCCAGTATCCGTTCGAACCAGTTTCTCGGGGATGGCTTTAAGCGCCGGGATTGCGCCCGAAGGTCTCTCAAAGGCACCGACGCCGCCATCTTTAACCATCGACAGGACGTCGAAAATTAGACGCAGCCAACAACCTCGAATCCGACTGGTCGTTGACTTTTTTCTGAGACAAAAGGATCGAGCCAATGGAAACGGAAATATCTTTAACCCTTTGGCTACTAAGACCCCGACGTTTCATCCAATATCTCTTAACAATGACTCCTTAATCTGGGATTAGTGGAGTTCCCGTTGCGCCGAGTTTAAGCTAACCGGGGATTATAACCCAACGTTTGGTGACTATCTGTAGTCGGGCAGTTATCTAGAGACTGAGTAGAGTTTTGTGAGCTGATAGAGAGTTGGCCAACATTGTAGAGTCAAACGCGTGGTCGGACCGGATCTGGTCGATCGTAGAATTCTTCAGGACAGAGAACAAGAACGACCGGTCACCTGGGTCTGGGTCTGCTGGTGGTTTCCTGGACAGCATCCTGGGATTTTCCATCTTGCCCCAGGATCTGCTGATGGGCTTGCTGATGGACGTGGTCGCGCCTTCCATCGGCCCCAATCGTTGCCACGTCAGCCTCCACCTGGGTCCTTTAACACCCAACAAAGTACCACCAAACAATATAAAAAGATGAATTAAGTAACTCGGTGGAGGCTGGATCTGGCGTTAACCACAACGCCTCCACCTGGGTCCTTTAACACCCAACAAAGTACCACCAAACAATATAAAAAGATGAATAAAGTAACTCGGTGGAGTCTGGATTTGCTGTTAACCACAACAGTATAACATTTGTGCGTTCCTCATGATTTTGGCGTGCTGCTCACCTGATGGTATTCGTTCCACGGATTCGGTCCTCGTCTTCCTCTGGTTCTTGTTTCACCGCCATGTTAACGAGGGGTGACAATGGACTTTGGGCGTGGGGTGGATAGTGTTGGGGGTGAAAAAGCGAGCCGTCTGTTGGAGATCCTTCTACCCCTGTCGGCAGAACCCGGGGCAGGACTTCCTCAGTCTGCATAATGCCCCCTGAAGGATCAGAAAAGCGAAAAAACATCAATTAAAAAATCCTCCCACAATTTCCCGAGGCATGAAAAATTCCTTTTCATGCAAACGCCTCTTTGGATTTAATCCCGGCAATGTGCCGTTAATATATCTCGGGGAATAAGGTACTCTCGTCGATCAGGGATCGGTTAATTGCAGGTCGCAAGTTTGGATTGGGAACGCGAGGATCGCAATATGGCGATGCGTTATTCATCGGACCGTTTCGAGTAAAAAAGCCCGTCGTTTGGTCGAACCAAGTGGGAGGATCCCTTAACGGAGGGATAATTAAAAGGAGTCATTAATGCCGGCGCGGATTTAATTAATCCCCGCGAAGGTAGGTGTCGCTTAATTTCTTTCCCCCGGAATTCCAACACCGAAGGGGAGGTCCTTATGAACCCGCGATGTCGCCATTTCGATAATAAGTACCACCACGGTCATCATGTTTAGCTGTAATTATTCTTATTTAGTTTTAACTGTATTATCGAATAATTCAAGACCTCGATTTAGGCGCCCTTACACGTATCCTGCCTAGTTTTAATTATATCAATTATTTAAGACGCCGCTTTGGGCGCTTCAGAGCATCCAAGATGGCGTCGCGACCCTTTCCAGATACTCTATCATTTTATTCCGACAAATCGTGATATTTGTAATTATCTTATCTAGTTTTACCTATATTATCCAATTATTGTATTTAAGACGCCTTTTTGAGCACCTCAGCTGTAATTATCTTATCTAGTTTTAACTATATTATCCAATTATCTAAGATCCCCTTTGAGCGCTTCAGAGCATCCAAGATGGCGTCGCGACCCTTTCCGGATATTCTATCATTTTGCCGCGACAAATCGTGATAAACCACGGTCTTTTTTCAGCAATAAAACGGCATCGCGAGAGGAAGAGCTCGAAACGGAGGCCAATGGAAGGGAAGGTAAAAGAGGGTCCCTGCTGCCGTCCAGCGACCACAGTAAAACGCGAAAGGAACGAAGAGACCACATTATGCCGACTTTACGACTCTCGGGGATAAAAATATTCCCGCTCGGAAATAGCTCTTGACACGCGTGCGCACACATCCCGGCTTTACATCGGCAATTCCTCGGCCATATTTGGAATTTCTCGATCGGGTTTCGCGTCTCGTTGATATATCCGCCGTGAGTTCTGTCACTGTACCTTGCCAGATAATTCCCGGTTTAAAATCCCCATTACTTGCGTTTACAATCACCTTTAATGAAAATAATCCCTCTCTCCTTTTATTATTACAGATAATTAACATATAGGAATTATTGCTTCGCGTTTAAAATTCCCGCGCGAGAGAGGGAAATCCATCGACGCGTTTTAAACAATTTCCACGTCCAGGGGGTTATAAAAAATTCCGGTAAAATTACAGTATAATTCCTTGTCTAAATGCGCAACTTTTATGAAGAATGCATTTTTTCTCCACGACCTCTGGATTTTTAATAATTAAATAATAAAGGCCCGCGCGATAGTCACTACAGCGAGCGAGGCCCTTGTTCCAGGTCGCCATTAAGGGTAATGTTCATTTATTAATTATAATTTTAATTCCTGGAATTGTCAACCGTTTTCGTAGAATTTCCCGGTTTTCGCTAGCAGGGATAAATCTAAACCATCGTGGATTTACGAGAGCAGTAAAATGATCTTCGGCAAGGAGACAACTTGTTCAGACAGCGAGGTGGTAAAACTCGCATACATGTTATATCAATTTGAACACGCAAACTCGCGTGATGAGCAAACGTAATCGCAATCACGAAGGTGACATTGTTCACCTGGGGCCCAGGAAAAAATGGCGCCTCCAGGGGTTATTATTTAAGGCCGACTTTAACGACGTTTTGTGTGAACCGTAAGTACCAGGGTCCTTTAACGCGTGCATCTGGTCCCATCAAAGGAGGCTTTAGTCCTTCCCATAGAAAAGGCTCCCACTCCTTAACATTTTATTACCATTTTGCCCAGGGAACGATGCACCTCGGAATCGTAAAGGCTTCTTTCCGCGGCGATATAGCGGCAATAAAAGCTTCCTTGCAGAAAATCCCGGCTGGAATTTCCGAAAAGACTACCACAATCGTCCTGCCCGTAAAGTGACAATAATCCCTCTCTTTATGGGATTAATTGCTGTACGTGGTAAATGCCGATTCTATCTGCCCCAAGTACGATTCCTTCTTCGATTAACACCCCCTAGTTCATTTGAATTTCAATCATTTCCATTGCTAGGTTTATGGCAGCCATTTATAGGCACGTCTCTAATCGTATCTCCGGTGTTAGTTCGACGTTTGGTCGAAAATCCCCTGCACGGTCAGAGGAATTTCGCCCGTATGTCGAAACGGCTCCGTGTTCTAAGGGTTAATTTATTTCCTCGGAATTTTCGCCTCAAATCCCGCGCGACGAAACTTATAGAATTTCAATTCATTTTTATCGGAAGTCTTGGAAATATTCGAACAACAAACGACTTTTCATGCTGAACAATTTTGTTTTGAAACGAGAGACCTTTGACGCCACTATCACGTCGCCTTAAATCATTCAATAAATAAACTTTTTTAATTTCTACTGTCGCTTCATTAGTTACACCGTATTGTGCTATTATTTTCATCTGACAAGAGTAAACAGAGCTGAAGCTGGCAACGTCTGCGCGCGCAGCATGCAGGGTGCGCGCGCAGTCTCGCCTCGACGGCCGTCTGGAAAATTAGCATTCTAAAATAATCGGACGTGTGTTCCCATGCGTTAACTGGCCTAGCCACTTCTCGACATCGAATCGCAGCTTTTTCATTAAACTTGTCCCGCGATTAGACGCGTCATTCCGCCGGTTACCTTCGGTTAAGCCGGTGAATAGGTTAGGTTAGGTTAGGTTAGACCAAGCGATAGGTTCCCCGGATCTTTTTCCTCGCAGTCTTCGTCACCGTTCCTCGAAAAACCGTGCGGCGCAATTTCGAATCCCGTAACTCCAAACTTGGCGTGGGAAATCTGAGAAAACCGAAAGTAGGTGGCTGCGGGCCAACTTCTAATAATAACCAAAAAATGGATTGTACTACCGCGTGGATTGGGCTCCGTAATGGAGATTCGGTGAATGGGGCCGCCACCAATAAACCCAAATATTAAAATATGATATTTGGCCGACGTCGCAGGTGCACCTAGACACAATCCGAGATCAAAGGAACGTCGTTTATTAAATACATAAAAGTCCTCCTAAAGGATTTCTAAATCCATAAATATTCCCAAGACTGCCTGAATGAATTTCAATTCAATAAGTTTCAAGCAAAATGTTGCTTTGTCGAATGGGTTGTGCATTTGAGATGAAGGTTATGTTCCTTTGATAGAATTTTTCATTAATTCTCGCTATATTCACCTGTGACGGGAAAGTGACTTTCAGGCAACATGAACGCAGCCCTTTAAAGCGAATGAGATCCTTGGACTTCCTCGACGAGTGGTCCTTGCTATGCCAGCGCGCTCTGGCGGAGCTTTTCCTAAGTTCCAGGTGTCCACGAGGACCGCTGACACTCATCGACGGCCTCCTGTGTTGCAGTCGACGTTGGTCCAGGTGTTGCACATCACAGGGTAAACCGATCTGCACCAACAAGAGGGTTTCCTCGTACAGTGAGCACTTGAACAATCCCTTGAGGGAATTCCTCAATAAGGACCCTGACGATGGTTAAGGCGGTTCTTCATGGTCTAAGAAGGTGGTAATCAGGAAAGGAGTCGGTGTTCCAAGTGTACGCGGAAGATCGGAAAGAACGGTCCCAGAGGACGCAAGACTTGCGACACAGCCTTAAGGTGTGAACCTTAAGGCGATGCGGAAGTGGCCACCGAGGCGGCTAATTATTTGTAACACTTTTCTTTGACACAGCTGTAGCGAATCTTACGAAGGATTAACACTAGGATCCTAGGGAGAGAAGGAAAGTCCTCTATAGGGTTTAGTGTTTCCACAGATAATCACGAAGTTCCTCTCAACAGGCGTCGAGGTGTTGATCGAGGATCTACCTCCAACCATCATCAGCCAGCACTAAAGGATCCAACACTAAACCCAAGACGTGTAAAAGGAACCGAGAACTGGAAGAGGCGTTTAATCTTCCTAGATGGGGTTCTTCCCAACACGAAGTGGAAGCCAACACACATCGCAACCCACACAAATCCAGAAGGTGATCACGGATCAGCCTCCAACCATCAACAGCCAGCACTAATGGATCCAACGCTAAACCTAAGACGTGTAAAAGGAACCGAGAACTGGAAGAGGCGTTTAGTCTTCCTAGATGGGGTTCTTCCCAACACGAAGTGGAAGCCAACACACATCGCAACCCACACAAATCGAGAAGATGATCACGGATCAGCCCCCAACCATCAGCCATCACTAATGGACCCAACGCTAAACCCAAGACGTGTAAAAGGAACCAAGAAAGGACTTAGGGAGGTGAACCGAGAACTTGGGGGCAGAGAACTCGCAGAGGCGTTCAGTCTACCTAGACGGGGTTCCTCCCAACGCGCGAAGCCGAAGTCGGGGAACTCCGACTGCGAGTTAGCCCGAAGAACTGGTCGGTCCTCGAGTGGACAGTTTTGAGGCAGTTTTGGCACTGTTAGTCCCGTGACGGCCAGCACCAACCCCGGCCTCGGCCCGACCAGGGTGGGAGGGCGGGAAGAGGGGGCGCGGGCGTATATTCTTGATTTGGGCGGATGGAAATCTGAGATTGCTCCATATTGGGACGTGCGCCGGCGGTGGTGCTCTGTAATAGCGTAGCTGTTTGCCGCTCTGTATGATGCGACCAAGAGAGAAGGTATATTTAACCCCGAACCAGCGAGGAGAGCGAGACGCGTGCAACGCCAGCCACGTCTCTTCCGAGCTCCGCTCTTGCTCGCTTCCTTTATTCCTATCAGCCGTGCCTTGATCGAAGGTGGTCTAAACCCTATCAAATCGGGAAGGCGAGGAATCTCCGCATTGGAAGACGCAGGAAACAGAAGAGTCCCCGGAAGGACCTGGCTACCCTGCGGGGAAACTGGCAGCGATCACCTGGTGGAAACAAAATGCCCTCGCGATCACGTCCTAGATTCCCTAACTCCAGAGGAAACCATGAAATTCCCTTGGAATTAATTGCTGATGGTTCAACGGTTCCCTGGGAAGCCTCCCTGAAATCTTTCACCTACTCTAAAGAGCATCATCGCTCCAAATTAATTGCTGATGCTTCAGCGGTTCCCTGGGAAGTCTCCCTAAAATCTTTCACCTGATCTAAAGAGCATCATCGCTCCAAATTAATTGCTGATGCTTCAGCGATTCCCTGGGAAGTCTCCCTAAAATCTTTCACCTACTCTAAAGAGCATCATCGCTCGAAATTAATTGCTGATGCTTCAGCGACTCCCTGGGAAGCCTCCCTAAAATCTTTCACCTCATCTAAAGAACATCATCGCTCCAAATTAATTGCTGATGCTTCAGCGGTTCCCTGGGAAGCCTCCCTAAAATCTTTCACCTACTCTAAAGGACATCCTCGCTCCAAATTAATTGCTGATGCTACAGCGGTTCCCTGGGAAGTCTCCCTAAAATCTTTCACCCCATCTAAAGAACATCCTCGCTCCAAATTAATTGCTGATGCCTCAGCGGTTCCCTGGGAAGTGTCCCTAAAATCTTTCACCTACTCTAAAGAACATCCTCGCTCCAAATTAATTGCTGATGCCTCAGCGGTTCCCTGGGAAGTCTCCCTGAAATCTTTCACCTGGTCTAAAGGACATCACTGTTTGATAGAAACCAGAAAGTACCAGCCATTGCATCGAGGCATTACACGCCTGTTATTTCTGCATCTCTCGGTGGGAATGAACCCGACATATTCGTCCTACGTATGCCTCGGCTCGTATGCAAATCCGCGAGCTGGCTCTTAAGACTTGGGCATTCTAGCTCCGAGCTCATGGACAAATCAAACAGCACGCCCAGGCCTACCCCTTTCAATTAATAAGCTTTGGAAGCGGCGATGGTGTCCGATTTCTCGCTCTTGGTAGACACGGGATATTCGCAGACTAATGCCGAGCCGAGCTGGTAATGCCCAATAACGTGAGCAACTTATACCACCGACTTTCTCCCTGCCTTTTGGAGCCAACATCGAAATGTTCGAATGGTAAAAACATGAAACGAGTCCCAATTCCATTTCAGACAATTGTCTCTAGAAAATCCCGGCGATTATCAGAGGCTTGGGAAATCACGGTAACGACTTACTAATCACCGGGAACGTTTGGAGGTGTGAAAGAAAAATTGATAACGGACACACATTGCTTTGCCGTTAAGACGACTCGTAGATAAAAAAGCGCAGACTGAAGATGCGGTCCAGGGAGCAATTAATAAATGGAATAACTAGATGCCGATTAAACTGCGAGGATTGGACAGCTGTCCGAAACACTTACGCGTCCATACAAGAAGTCGTGAATAATTTCACGCAATGAGACTTTTGGCACGACCCGATACCTCCCGAGGCGACGAAGTAAAACATTGCAAGAAGGAATCCGAAGAATTCACATTAAACCCCGGGGAAGAAGTTAATTTTCGGATGTCTAAAGGAAGATTCAGAGCCGTTCCCCAGCAACATCATTTCAGCAACAGGTGGTCGCATCGGCGAAGATCTGGAAACGAATCCTCGAAGTTTAACGTCAGATAAATTAGGAATCCTTCTCAGAATTTCAGGAATTAACAGACACACCCGCGATAAAACCAATCGAAGACATCGTTAACGAGAAAATTAATAAGGCCAGCTTAGATCGTGCAAGAGGATGTACCAAATGCCGCTCGATTCCTGGAACGGGCGACGGTAATTGCAATTAAAAGCCAGACACGTGATAAAATCAATCAAAAATATCCTCAACGCGACAATTAGGACCATCAGCTCAAGTAGTCCAAGAGGAAGTACAAGATCTACCAAACATTGCCGACGAAATTCCTGGAAACCGTCTCTAAGAGGAAGTAAAAGAGCTTTGACTGAATTTCGAAGATGTGACAAAGTTCTCAATGGCATTTCATGGAAGTAAAGGCCTGGATAAAGAGTATCGACGATGATATTTGCTCACGTACACGAGTCATGCCGCTCGATTCCGGGAACGGGCGACGGCAATTGCAATTAAAAGCCAGACACGTGATAATATCAATCGAAAATATCCTCAACGCGACAATTAGCAGCATCAGCTCAATTCGTCCAAGAGGAAGTACAAGATCTGCCAAACATTGCCGGCGAAATTCCTGGAAACCGTCTCTAAGAGGAAGTACAAGAGCTTTGACTGAATTTCGAAGATGTGACAAAGTTCTGAATGGCATTTCATGGAAGTAAAGGCCTCGATAAAGAGCATCGACGATGATATTTGCTCACGTACACGAGTCATGCCACTCGATTCCTGGAACGCGCGACCACCAACAGCTTCCTAACTCGCCGTCCGATTGCGCAACCAGAAAGCGGCGTTAAGTGTCTAATTTATCCTTCGCCTCGTCCCTGTTATTAGAAACGAGCATTCCTGACTCGGAAGAACGTAGGCACATATCGATGGTAGGTAATCGATTATGTGCCGCGGTCGCAGGAGCGCAAAGGCGGCGTCTTGGCCGGTGTTAACGGCTGTTGTTGACGTACGGTTGGCAACTATTGGGACACTTGCCGAGTGGGCGGCCGAGGTAGGCCTATAAGGAATATAATATGGCTACGCCCCCGCGATTCCGACTCGGCTCCACTTTACTTACTCCTAGAATACGTCCTCCGGGACGCGGCAATGCCGTCGCAAGCGTGGAAACGCCCGTCTAAGTGACGGGAATTAACATTTCGGTTGCGCAGTCGCCAAGAATTGCGCGTAGGTCGGCCTCCCGATTCGGCAGTCGTTCGATTGATTTGCATACCGAGCGATCGTTTCCTCCTTCAATGGAGCTTGGAAAGGGGGCCGAAGAAATGGCCGGGACAAAGAAGCCATTCCTCGGAAGAAATTAAAATCATCTCCAAGCAAGATGGCTTCCGTTACATTTCCAAGTCGGCTTTCAATCTATCTCCGACGTGGCATATCTCGGTATCAAATATAAACGCGATTAGAAACAGGAAAAATAAAAACGAGATCCACGATCACGTCCACGTGACAATGACGTTTATATCGAGAACAAGACCTGAGAGCCACGTGGGGCGATTTTACAAGTGGACGACGGTTTTGGCCAGGAATCAGACTACGAGTGGAATCCGTTCGATTCTCTTCCACGTAATAAATCCCATTTTCCATTTGACAATGACGTTTATATCGAGAACAAGACATGAGAGCCACGTGGGGCGATTTTACACGTGGACGACGGTTTTGGCCAGGAATTAGACTACGAGTGGTATCCGTTCGATTCTCTTTCACGTAATAAATCCCATTTCCCATTTTCACATTTTGTAATGCGAGAATAAACGAGATCCACGATCACGTCCACGTCTCTCCGCCATTGTGACAATGACGTTTACATCGAGAACAAGACCCGAGAGACACGTGGGGCGATTTTACACGTGGGCGACGGTTTTGGTCGGGAATCCGACCACGAGAGCAATCCATGCCTCGGACTCGTATTCCTCGTCGCTCGTATAAGGCCGGCCCAAT